AACATTATAGCTACAATTAATATCACCATGCACTATTATATGACCGAGTGAACCGTGTACCGAAGTATTGCTGCTTCTTTAACTTTTGAACCGGTGTGACTAAATAACGCAACGGAGTTTTTTTTCGTCAATGGCACAAGTTTAACTAAGGTTTGATTATTTTTAAATATTGTTGTTGGAGTCATGCATCCTTATATACTGTTTATTCCAAAATATACACATATTTATGTAAATCTGGGACTTAAAATTTCTCCGGCATATAACCTTTCAAAACATTAAAAGAAATTTAGTATGAAACAAACTTTCATTATGATACTATATTCAGTATATATAATAAATTATATTTTGTAAAATAATTGTAAATAACCATTCATTGTGCCTTTTATGCAAACAAATATTCCCAAATATTTTCGAATTAAACAGATATTCCACAGCTGCAAAAAAAGACCTCTTGTATGCTTTTAAAGAAGCAAACTTGTATACATATTCTAAATGAGCTGTGACTATCAATTGTATACCGGTGTCGCTTAATAATCACACGGGCGTAATATTACCACGGTTATGTTTTTTAAAACTTGCATGTAACTTTGTTTACAAACAAAGCGCTTTGAAAATTGGTATAAATCTTCAGCATGGAACTATTATTTCGGTGCATGTATTTGAATATTCTGACAGTATTTATTTTCTTCAGAATATATGAATGAAATTGAGCTAAAACGCCAAATTTTGCATCTTTCGTAGAGCATTATGAAAAAAATCTGCACGATTCTAAAAGTATTAAAGTCATGAAAATAAATGCCTTTAAGATGTGTCTGGGGTGTTAAACTTTATTCCTTGTCCATTGTTTTATTACTAAACAAATGCTAAATGAGCTAGAACTCTTCAGCTGTAGTTGAAAATGGCCAATTTCTCCGAAAACAAGTTCAAATTAGCCGAAAATTTTGTACGAAAGGGTACTACAAATTTAAAACTTGTCATTCATATAAAATAGATTAATACAGAATCCCTAAAGAAAGCCCAACGCGGCATTATTGAAAATGTTGCAGGCTCGGTTTGATTGAGCCTGTTTATGGACGGCACTGGAAAGTGCAAGCCACCGTCCACGCCCATATATACCATACACATTAATTCTTAAGAATAAAGGTTTAATAACTTGTCCTATATTTTAATATTCACAATTTAATGATTGTTTTTTTTTTATCAACAAATTTTCCGTAACCGTTACTTAGCGTCTGTGCCGTTGTCGAGACGAAACAGAAAATAGACAAATTTCGACAAAACAAATAGACAGAATAAATGTTTAAATTGCGCAGAAGATTTTATACATTTACTGTAATAAACAAGAGTATTCACTTCAATATAAGTATCTCTTGTATGGAGATTGACTCAAAATTTTACCACTTCTCTCGCTTCAAATTTCATGTTGTAACGATCGCATCTCAATGTAAACAAATGTTTACATTACCCCACCCACTTTCTTTTCCTTAGAAATATTGATATGTATTTTAAATATACAATGTATAATGGTGTAGTATTATAACACTGTTCATAATTTCATGATGTATATTTGTAATATGTGTTGACCATTCATGTTGTTTTCAGGAAATAATCACTGTGCACCCTAATTCACGTTTAAAAGTGACGTATTTTTACGCTTGAATTCGCCGCTATTTATTTCAGCAGATAATCGTGTCTTATTCTTATAATCTTAAATGGTATAAAAATTATTGATAAATATCAATAATATAACTGTTAGTTTCACAAAGTGTCATTATTCTATGATCATATATCTAGACAACTTTATTTTTCACTTTTTGTGATATAAACCTTTTTGTTTTGATGTTTGCTTAAAAAATGCATAAATTTGTTCTTTATGGCATAGTTCTATATTTATACATTTATCATTACTCCAACGTCATACCGAATTAAATATCTTTTTGCCAAAACACTTACCATAGTTTCGCGCAGAGTTAGTTATAAGTATGGACATATTTATATTGTAGGGGAAAAGCTTTCAATGTTATCAAAAATTAAGTAAAATTATGTATTCTCTTCCTTCTGCCCATGCCTAGAAATACCCAAGAATGCATCTATGGCAATGCAGATTTTCAAAAAATTTCGGAGGAACATGCCCCTGGATCCCCCTTACACCAGTGCCTACATATTGATTTCTTTCAAGCTACGCACGTACCCGACGGTGTTGATACTCTTAAAATTTTAAAAAGGAAGTACCTGACGGGGAGAAAATGATTAAAGATGTTTTAATGCTGACGAAAGCGGGTCTTTGCTTTATATGAACTCTGGAGAAAGTAGCTAAGCTTGTGTATTAGGTAACTTCAAGTATAAAGCAACAGACAACGGTTATAGAGTGCTTTATGCCTTTGGCAATTACATACCGTCCCTCATTATTTTTCATGGGAACGTGCGCAGGACTCTATGATGCATGCGTTCCCCGAGGCTATTTACGGACAAACAAAAATTCAACACATGTGCTTTAGCCACATGACTTAGGATTTTTCGGGCTAATTAAGTCTGCGTATAAAATGTGAAAGACTGGCCTTTAGAAAACAATTGCCAAATCTTCACGAGCGCCATTTTCATGATGTGTTTAGGAAAGCATGGATTAGAGTGACAAGATTAGAAAATGCGGTTTCGTCGCTCTGGTTTGTTCCCGTTATGTCAAAATAACACTGACCTTATTAAGCTAACTCCTTCTAAATTGCTCGGCAAGGAAAACTTAGACACCTTTATTTCTTGGAACTCCCAGTGCTTCAGCTACCCCTATTTATATTGACAGCATTAACATAACACGTCTTGGACCTTACTTTCAAAACATGCATGCCTGTGACTGACAATGACAATCCTGTATCAGTGAGTGAATTTGCTCTCGTATCAAAAACCACACCCTAACAAAAGTTTTCTTTAAAAAAAAATCTCACCTATAGCAACTATATTACCCAGTTTCCTTGCATTTCTTCATCCGATGACACGTCCGTCTTACCAGCCAATAAAAAAGTATTAGTTTTTTGCTACTCATACTAGCAATTTACTTGAAATACCTTAAAGAAGTGGATATTGTCCTCCAACGCTTTGTCTTTAAATTCAAGCGTGTAACAGATAAAGACAGTTCCGTTTTTTGCCATCGTTTTCTCTGCTGTCTGTCCCTGAGATAAAGTCAGAATCCGACAATTTGCTACGCTTCAGTGAGTAAACACATTGCATTTTTTTCTACGATAAAGGGGCATAACTGAAAGAAAATTTTATCACTTTGCATAAGCAGCTATAGAACAAACTCTGTTGCATAGAATTGTACCAACTTTTGCACTGTGACAGGGAATGAAAATAATTTCAAGTAATATATGTACATGCAAATTTGAAATAAAATGAATTTTTGTTTATAGCAGTATATTGAGTTACCTGTTTTTCAAAATGACCTAAAAGAGAAATTCATGGTCAGATAACTTAAAGAGTTGCAGGTGATCCATGTTATTTTTTTTTATTTCATACATTATTTTCTTGAATCAAGCAAGTTTTAAGAAAATTCTCCGAGCTGAATTTAATTCCCTTCTTTGTCTTTGTAAAAAATGGATCTATTGTAGGAACAAAGATTAACAAGGCAGAGCAACTTTCACAGATCAAAGCCCCGGCAAAATCTAGTCACACATTTCCGCCGGAAATGCATACAGTATGTAATATAAAACTTTTCTTTTTGTAGCTTGACAATTATGTTAGAGATGACATTTTAATAATATGTATACAGTAATTAGATAGATCAAAATCTTGGTAAAGAGAAATAATCTCGAGATGTGAAATTCCTCAAGGGACATCGTGAAAATTTCAGACTCGATTTAACGGAACCTATCCATAAGAGATCATAAATGAGCAACATCTTTGGCGTCTTCTAGCATATCGGCTTAAGTATTATTCATTTTCCAATCTTTCAAACAAATAGCAAATTCATTTAATTGATATCCACACCGTATGATACAAATCACTTGAGTGGAGCTTTTTAGTACCCCAGAATATGATTGAAGAAATGAATTTGGTGTCTTTGTTTTTTGATGATACAAACATTTGGCAATATGTGTGTTTTAATTTATTTTTACTGGGCGCGGCTTTATGCCATATGTCAGACTATCCTACGGAGGATGTAGTTTCATCGCCCCTATAGATATATACTTTGCTGATCGTAGAGACTCTCAAGTCGTCTATTGTCATAGAGATCTTGAGAAGGGTTCAGAAGTTATGATGCATGTGTATCACAGACAACTGTCTAAATGCATATTTTAAAAGCATGCAACATGTCATTTGGGTCATTAAACAGTCTACAAGTAGGGACATTAGAATTATCCATTGAGAAAAAGAAATATGATTGAAAAAATATACCACAAAAAAAAGAAGAAAAGAATTACATGTAATGCCGCGCAAAACGATCTTCAAGGATCAGAAATATAAGATCTCTGATTGAATGTAGGTTATTCACAACCAAACAAACCTGATTTGACAATTTAATACTATTCATAGACATTTTTCTTCATATATAACTTCGAAATGAAATTATGGTTATGTACATCAGAACAATATATGTCTGCACAAAATTTGTGTTCTAACTATTTAAAGGTAACCAATATCTCCAATTTCTGCTTATCCTCTTACATTTTCTTAGACATTCAAGTACATTACACTCGTTAGTTTCACATCGAACCAGCTACAACAGTAACACGCTAGTCCAAAATATATATAAGACGTTGACAAAGGCTCGGCAGATTGCAATGATCGGGCTCAATCAAACAGAGCCAGGGACATGTTCAGTTTTGCCGTTTTTGGGCGTTCTTTAGGGATTCTGTTTTATTCTGTTTGTGTAATAGTTTATATATTTTGCGCAAGCCTATTACTTGCTTTGCCAAGTGGTAGCAAAGTCTTATTTATGCTTCTGGATTTTGTATAGTAGTCTATGATCATGTTATAACTTTAGTGGTGTGATCCCTACAGATCGGTGATGCAGTAAATTATTTCACTGACCTATTTTCGGGACAGAAGACGTGTTGTTGACATCGATATATTTTTTGCGAATAAATACGAAAATGGCAACTGAAGGAGCAAAAGAAAGAACTGTTGTGATTGCGATGGATGGGAGTGAATATTCGGACTATGCATTCGACTGTAAGTTTGCATCACCATGTCATAAAGTAAACAAATTTATAGTGAACTGATGAAGTTTCTAAGCTGCCAAATTATACATACTGAAATGTGTTTAGTCTAATATTTAATACTCTTACATCATCATGAACTACTTTTGATACTACTTTTAATATTTTGTGTTTAATATTCAGTACAGATGCATGAGAATTGATATGACCTATGCAAATATTGTGAACAGTCAAAATTCATAATCATATGCAAATAATTTGGAGATGGTTTTTTAATGAGAAAAGGTGTATTATTTTTCCTTTATTGAAGTTGACATAAACAAAATTGGAAGTCTGATGCTATAAAGCAGGTGAATCTTCATTTGCATTTGCGAGTAAAAGTTCGGGTCTGGCGAGTAAAAAATTTATCAAACTCGCCCGACAGGCAATTAGGGAATTTTGTACTTATTATCAGACATCAAGAACGGATTATGATTGTCGCTAATTGATAGGTGGGAAATTCATCAGATTTTCTATGTAGAGATGTTTCTTTATTTAATGGTAACAGAAATTATTTGTAACAAGAAAATTGATTGGTTTAATGTCTTTGCTGATTATCAACAATTTTTTTTTTCCTGAAGTTCTTTTGTTTTTTAATTCTGCTGTCTTTCTTTGAATGACCTTTGTACCAGGTAAACTGATGATATTTCATTATCATCCAGATATTGAGCTATTACTGTAAATAGTAATAAAGAAACAAAAACAGAAAAAATTTCTTTAAAAGAAAAAAGTTAAACTTCACAATAAAGTAAGAATCAATATTCAGAAATAAACTTTTTTCCTGAATGATCCAGATAATACTACGTTTTAATTCAGAATAAATTTCTTATCACTTTATCATATGTTTAAACCATGCCCCAGAAGGTTTCCATTGATGCCAACATTTCTTCCAGAGACATTCTGAAATTAAGTTAAAAACCTCCCCACTTTTCATATTTCTTCAAGACCACAAGACTCAAGAGGTCTCATTAGTGGGGTTCTACTGTATTATTTAAAAACTGATTTTTTAAAATTATTATTATTGTAAACCTGAAAAATCCCGAGGCAGAGATTTTGTAGTCTTTGACTTTAAAATTTTGAAGGCTTAATGGAAGCCCTTCAAACTTCTACAGGGACAACCAGGAGCAAGGCCCGAACGAGACCCCTCATACATATACATCTTCATCACAGTTTACCCAATGTTCAGCAAGGTAAATGTTGGAAATGGCCTATACCTGTAATCACTACATTTTACATCATTGATTTGATTTAATTTAAAAAATCAAGTATGTAGCATATTTCTGATAGAATGATACAAATGATGTCAAAAGAAATCAGCTGTTTTTTTATAGACCTTATATTTTTATAGCTTTGCCTTAGCAAAAATTTATGTACCTCAGATATGACCCTTTTGTTGGCACCAACAATGGTTGAAGGAAGGGTTAATTAAGCAGTGGTTAAATACTATCTGTATGTATCTCCCAATAGTGTCAAACCCCTTGCGGGGACATAGACATCCCTGCTCATCAAGATTTTAATCTGTATTATATACTGAATATAACTTCAATGCAGTCAAAACAATATCATTAGCAGCAGATATTACATTTATATCCCTGTTAGACTAATGGTTATCCAGCTCAGGGAAAAATGGTAATCCAGCATAGAGAAAAGTTAACACGATGCTGCTAGTAGGTAACCTGCTACATGCATGGACAGCAATTGTTTCAGAATTACAATGTAGTCTTGTCCAGTTGTATTATGATAGTGTTTTTGTTTATGATGCTTGTTAAGTGGAACTAATACTAGAAATTCTAGAATGTTCAATATCTTATTCCCCATTGATGTGTATCTTGATAGGGCAATTACAGCCTGGTGAAGAAGCCAATAAATATAGTGCTCACAATAAAATAGATTAATGTTGTCTTAAACGACTCAAACAAGGAAACAATTAGCGAAATTAGACAGAAATTAGGCTTATTTAAGGATATTTTTGTGTCTGTTTCTCTATTTTGAGGCATTGATATCACTCTCTTATAAAGGTACTGCAACCAGTGCATTTGCTCCCTATAACACATGACAAAATTCCTCAAACAGATCTAAAGGGGCCAGTTTGGCTTACACCAGAGACCTTAAATTCTTCATGTGAGAATTACATCTTCTGTAAGTGGAAGTTTGGGAATCATTTACTCCTTGATTTTGGCTTGTGACTTAAAAAATGTAAATAATAACCTTAGTGCAATAACGTAATAAGTGCTTCTAAATTTAATAGCAGTTATTCCGTTATTGCACTAAGGTGGCGTAATGCTTTTCCTTCCTTACGGTTAAGTTACCTATATAACGTAACTTCCAATGTCAGACATTAATTTGCAGTCACTGGCTTTCAAAGTTTGGAACTTAATTGAAGTCATGATTACTGTTACTGTAGCTTGCGGAAAAACATTTAGTTCTTTCCAAGTCTGCAAATATGTCTGAAATAATGCACAGAGGGATGGCATTGATCTTTCTTCATCACTTAAGCTAGAAAGTTGTCAAATGACCTTTACAGTTTTTGTGTGACTTAAAATTTTATTAGAATCTAGTTTAAACAAAATAAAAAAGAAAGCAAAATCATAAATGCATGGCACTAAGCAAACAAATAGATATATGGTGACCCATTCTGTTTTAATGAAATAAATTTTGAAAACACTGAAAAACTGTTTTGCTCTGCCTATTCATATTAATAAAACCAGAGTTGAAATAGTAAAGATACAATTTGGGGATATAGTCCATGTGGTTTTGTAATTAATATCAATTATATGACCTCTTTTCTCATTATGTTCATAATATGCGATCTCATCTCCCAGATTGTTGGCATGAATTTTAGACTTAATCTAAAGTGAGGAATAATCATTCTAATATATACATTGTATCTAATTAAAATGAAATTGTATTGATGTACGTGTGGAGAAGGTTTTGCATTTATCTATTACAATACATTACACTTACATGTGTTGATGACAAACTGTTACATGTATCTACAGGCACTGCAAGACTGAGTTAAATCATGATTCAAAATGACCCAGCATTTAATGTCTTCTGTGAGCTGCCAATGTACATTGTATTTCAATGTTGTCGGGTGGGACTGGGTTGCAAGTGGTATAATAGTTCTAACCAACTTAAAGAGTTTCCATGTTTTTAGCCATATGTATTTAGAATACATACAGTCAAACCTGCATTAAAGAAAACCTCTTAATTAAGATCACCCTGTATATAAAGGCCACTCTTTGTCAAACCCTCATTGATGCTTTAGAAAAGAGTAACCTCCAAATAAAAACCATTATACTATAAAGGCCAATTGTTCAGTATCTCCCTTCTATGACCTTTGTTTGAAGGTTTGACTTGTATAAAACCAAATGTCACACATAAATTACAGTGTCCATATGAAAAATGTGTAAGCTCTGTTATTTTAGGCAAACTGAAAGAGTCATCATACCTGTTGATATTTATTAGAAACTTCTGAGGTTGAATTCAACATGATTTTTTGTTCATTTTTAAGTGTACAGTATTTAAAATTGTACATTTGAAACTACAGAAAATCACCATAGCATGACAACTTTATCGTCTACATTCAGTTACCCACAAGTCTTCCACAACTAATGCTGTCTGACAAAAGATTAGTTTAATGCAGAGATCTCTAAAGTTGGCAAAATATTTTATAAACCTCATATTTTATGATATTTTTATGACTACTTTTATGACAAGTTTACACTTTAAACTTTAATATGAAGTTAAATACTTTTAAATATCTTTGAGGTTAATACTGAAACTTGTATTGATAACTTTTAGATAAAATGAAGGTTTAGTTAAATTCTTGAGGCTTTTCATGACATTTCTATTTTCAGGGTATTGGGCTAATATTCACAAAGAAAATGATAAAGTCATCCTTGTGCACTGCCCGGAGTATCATACTGTTGTCCAGTCTCGTAAGTATTTTATAAGTTCACGTCATGTATTCACAAATAGATTTAATTTAGTCTACATAGTACTGTGCCAGCATTAGTAAGGACTTGCATATAACACCAGCAAAAAGTCACTGGTTTAGTACATGTATGTTCATTCATGCAGTCTAATACTCCATAATTATTATTATCCATCACTAATCTTGAAATGTTACCGTAATTTCCCATAATTGGAGTTATTCTTACTGTTAATGCAAGCGTACCTTGTGACTAGAAATGTAATGTTATAAAGGTTACGGTACATTTTTACAGTTAATATCTGAAAAATGAATTTATAGAAACAGTGCCCCAATGAAGTATTTGTTCAGGGCAACGCCTTGTGTATCATAACTTTCCTCAGGATAATATTTTAACTTTTCATAGTGATGGTAAATTATAAGTCTATAATGTTAGGGAACATGGGGTCATTTTGGGGGGTTGGCGGGTTGGGGAAAACCAAAAGACTTGAAAACTTGCCATTTATCCGGGGGGTTAAAAATTAAAAGGATTAATTTTTATGTGAGGAAACTTTTTAAACCCGGCTTTGTTTTTGGAAAGGGTTTTTCCATGTGCCCTTGTATGAAAATTTTGCATGGAAGGGCACCTTTAGGGCTTCCCCCACCGTAAAGAAACATCAAACCCTATACCCATACATTTTTGGTGTGATGTAAAACCCAATTAAACATTTTAACTGAACATGGATCATAGTTCCAACTGAATCTTTTTATTTTCTTATTTTTGTGAATATTTTGAAAACATTTGTGAATATTTTTTTAAATATATAATTCTTATATGTGTGCTACATGTAACTCAGTCCTGTGTTCTCTTTTTCTTAAGCTGAAGCATGTTAAAACAATATTTTGTATGAACATAATTATTAGAATAAAAATTGTTTTCAATCCAGTTCTTCTTGCTGTATGAAGCTGTAAAGTTCTTTGTTCTTTTACCAGGAAAAATGTGGAGTCAGATTGTGTGTCTTTATAGTTTGAATTGATTAATAGCTTTTGAATTGTTTGTTGCCCTGTTACAAGTGCCTAATGTGTTCCTGGAATTGCATGGATTTCCTAGATCAAGACTTTGAAAGGAAAACACTGTTTCTGTTAATACAGGATTATTAAATATTTTTACGTTCTTAAGGCCTTTAAATGTGCTTTCCATTTGTTCATTCAGTGTAAGATAATTCCATATTGCTATCTTAGTGCAGTAACAGGCTAACTCCTATTGTATTATATTAGGAGATAACATGTTACTGCACTAAGGGAAAGATATAATCGGTTCTCAGAGAGTTTCATCTCATATTTTACAGATGGCTTAAATGTTCCTCCATTTGGCAATGGTATGAGTTTAGCAAAACATATTCTTTCATGACTTAGATTAATTATTTCTCAGAAGAATATTGGCTACTACTAACTGTTAACATATCTATGTTTTATACTGCTGTGTGATAATTGATCCACATATCCAATACCCGGCACTTTAGGTCAAGCACTTTTTTTCTGCATATGGTGGAGGAAAATATGGCATAGCACATGTCAGATAATCTGTTTGATGTCAATTGTATTGGCTAACACTGCTTATTGAATTGTGGTACATTTAATATGGACAGAGAAGTTTGTGGCCTTACATTGAAGGCTTATGAAGCCTTTGAAATAAGTAGTATTTTTCTTCAGAAGAAATGGCAAACATAAAGTTGTTATGGCTTTACATCATCTGAGATGCTAATCACCTGAACAAAATAGCTTTGAATAAGTAATGATTAGTGAGAAAGGAAGCAAAATGTAAACAAAGTGGTATTTTGACTTCCATACAATGGGTTTTTTTTAGCAGTAAAATTAAAATTTCCAAAAAGCAACAAGTTTTAAAAATGGCTTTGGGGTATAAAGGCCCTTGAAAAAATTTTTTGGGAAAATTTTAACTGAAAATAAAACAAACAAAAAACATTTTGAAAAATTAAAAAAAGAAAGCATTTTTTAAAGCTTTAAAAGGGAATATGGGGCCTAAAAAAAAATGTTAAAAAATTTGACATAGACTTTGAAATTTATTTTTAAATCTTTTTTTGAAAATTTATAGATTAAATTTTTGTTTCCCGCCAATTTACTTTTTAAATTAAATCAAAATTGGATAATTTCCAATTAAAAACCCCTTCTTTTTTTTTGGGGGGGGGAAAGTTTAATTTTTTTAAACACATTTCTTGGGGTCTATAGAAAAATTTTGATTTTTTTGTTTCATATTTTTAACCCTCAGTGGCGTTTTTTAAACAGCTTTGAAATGTATCAAGAATATATTTTATTTAATTTTACAAAAAAGTAAACAAAGAAAAAAATAATAAAAGTTTGAACTAATAAAGACAAATTTTAGAAATTCATATTGTAAAAAATATGGTTTATTTTTTGGCCCCTAACTTTTTTTAGAATTGGAAATTTAAAATTAATTTTTTTTTAATTTTTGATTTGGGATGCCAATTTTTTTTCAAATTTAAAATTTCCTCTTTTAAAATTTTTTCCCCGTATTAAACCCCTACACTTTTTTTTTTTTAATTCAAGTTTCATTTAAACAATTGATTTTGGGTTTGGAAAATTTTATTATCTGAAAGAATGGGTTTGGGGAAAATTGAAAAAATTTACTTTTTGTCCTTAAAAGCCTTGGAAAAATACAAAAAATGTTAAAAATTTTTTTTCAGGGGTATGATTGAGATAAATGACTTTATAATTCTTGTAAGCATATCTCTGAAGAGTTACATTTTCTAAATAATTGTTGTGAGAAAAGCAAGTTTTGGGGTATTCCCCTGTCTGATTAAACTCCCCTGAAGTTGCCGGTTTCAAAAGTTTTTTAAGCTTAAGATTGAAGAAATGACAGTTTAAATTTTAATTTTTTGAATGGGTTTTGTTTATATTTAAAAATGGTTGGGGGTCAAAGGTTTAATATTGTAAATTTTGGGAAAAACCCAAAGGGGATTTTTTTGGGGTTTTGAGGGTTTGGGGGTCCAAATTGGAATTTTTGAAAAAAAGGTCAAGGGTTTTATTTATTGGGGGAAAGGTCAATGTAAATGTATTGGCAGGGGAATCAAGCTGATAAATTTTTAACAAATTTTTTTCCAAAAGGGGAAGGGGTTTTTTTGCCAAAGGTAAAGGGGTTTTTTTTTTTGAAAAAAGGTCAATGTAATATTTATTGGGGCAAAAAATCTGCGGGAAGGTGATAAGTTGGGGCAACAAAAAAGGCCCAAAATGATTTTAATTGGGAGAGGTCATGGGGATATTAATTGTGAAAAGGTCATGGTGATATTAATTAAGTTGAAATCAAGATGAAATTTATTACACAAAGGTCAATGTGAAATGTGTTGTGCCAATGATTCAATAATTTATTGAACAAAAGAAAGGTCAAGGTGATATTTAATGTGCAGAGGTCACAGTAATAATAATAGTGCAGAGGTCAAGGTGATATTCATTGTGGAAAGAGCATTCATTGTTAAATGTATTGTGCAGAGGTCAATGTGATATTTAATTAACAGAAGTGAAAGGCAAAAAGTTTTTATCAAGGTCATAATAGTTGAAAACTGTATTTGAAGGGTTCAAGTTGAAAGCAGTTTATTGTGTGTACATAATGTTATTATAATTCCACGAATTCCATTTTAAAGTACCTTTTGTTATCCTGTTCAGGGTCTTGGACAAAATGTCAGTAACTATGAGATGAAATGGTCATAATTGAAAGTCAAAATGAATATTGATTTATCTTTCTGAACATAATATTCAAATGCCAGAGGCATTACTTTTATCTTGCCATGTGTATGATAGTGGCATTGTACGTCTGGAAACTTGAAATATGAGGTAATGATTGTAAAGTGGTTTGGTGTTGAAATTCATAGTAGTTCAAGGTCACCACTTATTTAGAGGTCAGAGGTTGGGTAGCTTCAATATTTATACTGCTTATATAATGTCTACTTTAGACTACCTTAGATTTGCTGTTATTTTTTTTCTAATTGACTAAGATGTTAAATTATACATTTGTAGTCCTAGATGTACTGAACTTTATCTGCTTTCAAATGGACTTAAAGTGACACATGCATCCTTTCATAATTTCAGACACTTTCAGGCGTCTGCAGGAACAGACTGTACCTGACTTATCTATAAATCAGATAGCTTCCTATTTATAATCTGAAGATAAAATAAAACCATGTCTCAGGCTATTGATGAAAATTTTGTGGATCTGAAAGGGGGGTTAACAAATGTGATAACCAGTCTGATATATTAGCTGTAGAGAACATATTGTTTAAATGCTCTATCAGTTGCAGAGAGACATATTGATCTCAGGAACCTGTTTTATATTCAAGTTTTGGTGAAGAATATTCATAGAATATAATGGAAAAGATAGTTAATTAAGTTTCTGATTTCAGATCCAATTATTTTCTCTTGTTCATTTAATCATTGTTGACTAATACTAAAGATTCTTATTGCACCTGTCTGTTGGGCTGGACCATTGCAGAGCAGCTAAGGTCAGACTTCGAAACTTGCACCTTATTCCTATTAAATAAGACTTTACCATTCCTTCATGTGAAGAAGCTGTTCAGCTATTAAACTAAAGGTGAAAGGTTTAATATGGTGCATTCTATTGCATGAGGTGTGTTTTTGCTTTGAAGCCATTATGATATTGAACAGTGTCAGTGTGTTTTAAACACAGCCATGATGTATTATATTTCATTGGTCATATGATGTTAAGCTATTGAATAATTTTTCACTGCTCAAACTAGTAGTATTAAAAAGAAAGCATAACAAGAAGTTTCAATTAGGAGTGATAGAGACTATTAGACAAATGATATAGATTGAAATACATGTATATATAGAATGGAAAAGAAGTGTAGTCACATATAATCCTTGTTGTAAATGTTGATTCCATGTAAAAAGCTTTAATTCCCTATTGTTGAAGAAATTTCCTGAGAATTCACTTAAGTTTATATTGAAACATTATGTGGAATGTTTTCAAATGATTGAAAAGCACTTGTGATAGAATAATTGTTAGAATGCTATATTGTATTGGTGTTGACAGATGTATTGCAGTCTTATAAAATTTATAAACAACCAATCTTTCAGTTGGCAAGAAATTTATGCATGTGTTTTTACATCAGGTGCATTAAGCCTTCTATAAATCAAACATATATATATTGTTAATGATATGTTCCATATTGCATTTTATAGATGAAGAAACTTGCTGACTTTGTTTGTTTCCAATATTCAGAATAGTTTTTAATTTTACTATAGGTATGATTCTGCCAGGATAAGGTAAATGATTTATGGCACTGTACATTATAAAATATGTCTACCCCTATAAATATGTAGAGAACACTTCCTAATACTGTCAGGTTTCTAGGCTTGTGGTGTTGTCTCAACTGTAAAGACTTAAATTATTGAAGCATTGCATGTGTATAATTAGTCATTGAATCCATAAAAAATATGGACAATTGGTCCACAAAAACCATGTCATGTGTTAAAACTGATCAAGTCATGTGATTAAACAGATGATGTCATGTGACAAAACCTATCATGTGACAAGAAACAATATAAAGTCATTTGATTTGAAGTATTTGAAATGATCATGGACTTGAACTTCAGCCATGTTAATAACATTGTTCTAACTAATATATTTTCTTATTCTAGAAAATTGAACATAGAATAATTTTATTTGTTATGCACTTTTAGAATAATTTTATTTGCATATTTAAGTGTAGTTTAAAAAAAAAACCAACATATTGCGGAAATTTCGATTTATTTACTTCAAGTGTTTCAAGTAGAAAAGTACTGTATACTTTCTATGTCATAATTCAAATATCAGTATTTTTTTACAAGTGACTGTTTTGTTATAAATGGCCAACGGTGTTTGTTTACTCATTATTCCTGGAGGGCTTATTGACATTTGTGACATGCCTTTTTATAGATAAAGGCATAAATATTGATCTTGATCAGTCTTGTGAACTGTGATAAATAACTCTTGTTGGCTGCATTATTCGTTATAAGTTACCACTTTCAAATCGAACTCTTTTAGATTGAAATGGGGGCAATTCCATGTTCTCACATTGATAATCCTTTTTTCAATATATAAATCTTCTTATAATATTTGATCTTTAATGATAGCCAAATATTCAAAGTTTTATGTTGTTTAACCATGCACGTATATACAGCTGTATTTTGTACACATCCATGTTTTATGTTTCTACTATAGCTACTATTATTAGCATACTATTCTACCATAATGGTTGTTTTATTAATATATATTAAAAAAAAACAACTATAATTGCCATTTACAGTGAATTTATATTTTGTTGCAACAGTGCTCCAGTTCATCTATAAATAAGTTTTAATAATCATTCATGCCTTCTTCAGCTGTGAAATTTGTTGTTGTAATACTGTTTTAGTCTAAGAAAAGTGTGTTTTATTACCTATTTAAGTAAACTTCAGTTGCAATTAAGTTAATTCACATACATGAAAACTCTGGGTATGTAAGTCCTGAAGTTGTTTTTCCTAAAAAAAATGTGCATTCAGCCAATCTGTCATTAAAGTCATATTTTTTTGACAGCTCCTATAAATTGGAAAGACAGTGAAATATAGTGAATAACAAATGAAAAATCTGTTTCCCATTTATAGAGAGAATGTTTAAATTTCAATTCTTACCTCATCAGTGTTTAAATGTTAATTAGAAATCTCATCTGTAAAACATTTAGAAATTGGAGCAACTAAACATTCAATGTTTTACAAAACATGGACACAATTAGTTATAGTATTAATGGACAGTGTAGGAAATATGCGTGTGATTAAAGCATTAAACATTAGGTCAAGGGAACAATATTAACACAAAAATTATTTCCTGGCAGAAAAACTGACTTCTTTAATTCATTTGTGAACGTTACAAGGATGTATCAATAATATATATTGATTATTCTATAATTTAGCTACAATTATGTATATCCAAAACATTACTTTTGTTATTGGTTGTCATATAAGTTATGTCTTTATATAATTGAGCTAATAGTAATAGAAAGAGCATTGAAACACAAGGCTATCTGATTTTTATGAGGGGGCGTAGCGCCAGAGTATAATTCTGATTGCTGACTGTTTTGATGTTTTTTTTGTTTTTTTTTTATCATAATTAAAAAATGAAAACACATTCCCTGTTGTCGCAGTATGACACCCCAGAAAAAGTAACTAATGAAGGAGCATCTGAATATGATATTTCTATCGCCTTCTCTTTCTCTGTTGTCACAATAAGTAAACCTCAGAAAAAATGAGCCAAACTGGAGTGTGGGTTACAAATTAATACCTGCACTCCATTTAACGTTTATGTATACGATTTAACTCTGACACATTTTTAACAGAAAGGTCCCCAAACTATGATACAAATTATTTTTATGACACTGAATTAGCCATAAGTTTTTGCTCTATCCCCATCTATTAGTATCAATATGAATTTTTGCTCTTTCCCCGTCTATGAGTATCAACAATGAATATTTGTAAAGCCGTCTTTCACTCTGGTTATTTATACATAAAGATGAAATATCTACTAACAATGTAAATATAATGTACATAATTATACAGCTATGCGGTTTTCTCTTAAGATTACTGTGTTCAAAGTTCATGTGTAAATTGCGAAGTACAAATATAGGAAAAAACTTTGACCTGGTATACTAGAGAAAATAGTAAAGGGCAGTGAACTGTCAATGAGAGCTAATGTTTAATGTTGTTTATCTTTTCTCTTCACAAATATCTGACCTTCATTTAGCATCTAGGTATAATACTAAATTGAGTACACTGTACTTTCTACAAGCAGTGATGACATAAGGTATTAATCTAGTAAAATGAGAGATAAAATATTAAATTGTCCTCATCTAGCAGCCATCTTTAGAATGGTTTAATAAAATTGTATTGCATAAGTAAAGAATATATGTAAAATCTTTGTTTTTCTGTCAGGTTAGGCTACTATTTGATGTTTTTTTTCCATCTAACTATCAAATTCCTTGTATTATAACATTATACATTTTCAAAAACATTAAGGCAATGTGATATACATATAGCCTTTGTGATAAAGGAGAGGACTACCACGAGTTAGTGCAGCTCTCGAGTTAGTGCAGCTCTCGGTCCAAATACTTTCTGCTTTCATGTATTTATTATCTACAAGTATATATCTTGAATAAAAAGTATGTTTAAACCAAAGCAAGGAAAACATTTAACCCAAATTTAGCTTAAAAATGGTGGATGATGGCAATTTGACATTAAATTTTCTTGTTTATATTATATCATTTTTGTTTGGCATTGAATTAACATAGAATTATTTTCTGTTACTTTCGTTACAGCTATGGTAATGGCTGATGTAACAGTGATCACCGAGATGATGAAAGAAGAAGAGACCAGAATTAAGGGCTTCCTTGAAAAACTTGGACAGAAACTAAAAGACAGAAAGGTATGATGATATGAAGTTATTGTTGCTATATTATAAAAATAAAAAACCTCCCCACCCACTTGTGTGTGATGTGTTGGCTAACAGTCTGCTACGCTGCTAATCATTACACCTGCTGTTAGAGAGGAAGTGTCTAGCCTTTGCCAGCAGTAAACAGGCAGGCCAGCATGAGTCAAAATATATTGACGTGCCAAAGCTGGATTCTGTGATATTTTCGTTCTGGGTCAGAATCTTGCTTCTATAGAGACAAGATATTGCCCAGACACATAATAACACAATATCTCGTCACACATACAGTATGTTGGACTAGGTCAGCCTGAGCATGTCCTTGCAGTCTGACCAGGCTCTATACTGTTTTGGTAACTTAGTTTTATATTTTGACATAAATATCCCTAAAGTTTTAAATGGACTGTTCCAAATTCAAAGGAAGAAAAATTCCAGTATGCAACCACTTCAGTAGGTTAAGGGTTAATATGATGTACATGTAAACTTACGTTTTCAACACTCTACATTCCATGCCTTTGAATATATGAGCCGCGTCATGACAAAACCAACATAATGCGTTTGCGACCAGCATGGATCCAGACCAGCCTGCGCATCCGCGCAATCTGATCAGGATCCATGCTGTTCGCTTACAAACACTATAGCAAGTAGAGAAACTGATAGCAAACAGCATGGATCCTGATCAGACTGCGCGGATGCACAGGCTGGTCTGGATCCATGCTGGTCGCAAACCCACTATGTTGGTTTTGTTGTGACGCGGCTCATATATAGTTTTACATCATTAACCATCTCTGGCATGTCTATTCATGGCAGATCACAGGGAATGTGTAAGTGCATAATTATATGTACATGTGTTTGGTGTTTCTTTGCAGAAAAACAACAACTGATAAACAGTATCATTATACCTATATTTAAAACTGAGTTACCTAGACACTTGCCTGATAAGATTAACATTTTCATTTCTTGTTTTAAAACCCAGTGTGAGGGTTGTTTTATCAGTGATAAAGACTATATTTGATACATGTGTATATATTACAAACATTTATAATTATGCATTTTTGTAAGGGATAATAATGACATGTATATAGTTTTATATACCAGACAGCTGTCAATTTATGAAGAATTCTCACTTTTTTCTCTATAAAAAATGAAGTTTTCTGTATTATAAATGTTAATAATTATTCCTACAGGTTATAATTATGGCCCTTTATAATACTGCACGTTTGTAACGTCATTTTTCATTGGATAATCGTGATGTTTATATAGTTTTATATACATGGCTGCTGTCGATTCATGAAGAAATCTTACTTTTTTCTCTAAAAATGATGCTTGCTGTATTATAAATTCATTATAAAGATTGTTGGCCCTATATAAACGGCTATTTGTAAATATAACCCGAGCCGTAAGGCTTTATAATTAATAATATAAATGGTTATTTGGAAGTACAATTTGAACTGCTATGCTAAAAATCTTTAAAACTAATGATAATGATAAAAGGTTGAAAGCTTACATAACATAATCAATACGAAAGGGTTTTGTTAAAAAAAAAAAACAACTGCTTAATACACAGTAATATTAACAACTGTTAAATGCCTGTACATGTATAACAAATCTATATTTCTTTGTTAAGCAAAATTCAATGCATTAATGTTCAGCAGCTGTGTATATATATAGATAATAATATTGTAAACAACCAATGAAAATCTCTGTTACAAATGGGCTTTATTTTAAAATGAATGTGATCTTAATCATTTCTTAGGACTACACTGAAGCAAAATGGATTTCTGTAGACCTCTTTTGGATAGTAATAAGCACTTTAAAAAAGCTAAATCAATATGACAGGCTTCAGACAGTATGTCATTAGCTGGTGGTGAAATTACTAGGTTAACCCATCAGACTGACAAGTTAATACATTAGTTGTTACCATGTATATTAACTGACTGACTTGTAATCTAAGGATTTCTAGCTGCATGGGTTCAAACCTCATCAGGAGCGGGCTGTTTTCTTCTTGAGCAAGAAACTCTTTAGTAATACAATTATTGCTCAGTACTGGTTGGTTTTTAGGAACTGATTCCAGAGTGCATCAATAAGTTTCATAATGGCTTCCTACGTAATCAAACTAAAATAAATTCTTAATAAACTAAATGTTTTTCTTCTAATTAAAAGATCGACAAGTCCATTCAAGATAACTCGCATGGTAGGGGTAAAGCAAAAAAGTAAATTTTCTTCAAGATTTATTTACATGTATCCTGCTTACTAATTGTTAAACCCTCAAAGCTGTTGGTTCGAATCCCGGCAGGAACTTTGGATTCTTCCATGTGAGGAAGCTTAGATCCGGCTAGCTTACGAAATGCAGTGGTTCTACTCAGGTGCCCGTTCGTGCCTGAAATAATGCACTGAAGGGCACCTGAGGTCTTCCTCCACCAGTAAAGCTTGAAAGTCACCATATGACCTATACTGTGTCGGTGTGACGTAAAACCCAATCAAACAAATAAACTAATTGTACAATGAAGTTAAAAGTTAAAAGGTTCAATTTGACATTCACCAACTGTCTATAAGTACTTTAAGAAAATTTGATATTAAATCATCAGAAAGCAGCTAGCAGCAGTATATATTAGTATTCTGGTCAGATTGTGCAGAAGTGAAGGCTGGCCTAGTTCTATACTGGTCGTATAGCCAAAATATTATTGCTTCTAGGGTTGAAAAGGTTAATAACATAATTATCAGCACTTCAGGAGGAAAATTTTTAGACCAGATACAATGTCATATGTCTTAATTGATTTATCTGCTCTTTATAAATTGTACTTAGGTGAGACATTAATTGTTTTAAGACTCCTTTGATGTTTTCATGTGAAGTGACTTATAATAAGTTGATCTCTAGTACTGTAGATGTGTGCCTTGTCCTAGAAAAAGTTATTCATAGGTCATTCATAGCTTGATGGGATTCTGTTCATCCTGAGTGATAATTTAGGTGATGGACTTCTTCAAAGGCAGCTGAATTTCAACCTGACAACAATGTGACAAATTTTATACCAAATGATAAAAATTACTTTTGTATTAATGTAACATTTATGTTTGTGTCGAAAATGTGACATCCAAATCAATATCCTGTTATTAAAATGTATTTCATACAAATCTGTTTTGGTATAAATAGTATGGAAATAAATTTGAAAATTATGCTTGGATAGTTTGACAAACTAATTTTTGTTTAAATTAATTCAATATTTACAATTTTGTTTTTTCTAGTCTGGCGGTAAAGTGAAAAGCGTTGGTGGAAGCCCAGGAGAGGTAATTTGCAAAGTTGCAAACGATGAGCACGCTGATCTTATCGTCACAGGAACCAGGGGTATGGGTACGATCCGACGCACATTCCTCGGCAGTATAAGCGACTACATCATACATCATTCTCACGTTCCTGTCCTAGTTTGCAGACACAAGGATCATCAGCACCACCATTAGAACCTCTCTGATTGGCTGATATAAATAGTAACATGATGTCATCAGTGCAAGTCATGAATAGTGATGAGAAAGTTAGTGACAATGTTAAGGTTAACTTTTCAGAATTTTTTTTTGACTTTTTATCTCTGTTAAACAGAAGTACATTTTGATTAAATATATAGCTATATATTATTTCAACAAATGATGTTTTCAACAAATGATGTTTAGTCATCTACATGTATATGCACTTAAGAATTAATGATAATGCTTCACCTCTAGGTTTTGATGATAAAGTAGATTTCTTTTCATTACCTTTTTGAAAATGTTAAAATTTTTACGTAATTCATCCTATTTTATATGTTAATCATTAAAAGAATGCAATCTTAAAAAACTTTAAAAGCTTGTAAACAAAAAAAGGATAGTTATCATTAAGAAATCAGAAAAATCTGAGAATTGAAACTATTTCATTTTTTGATTACTGTTTTTTGCAGGCAGCAACTTCAAATTTTTGGCCTATGATTTATGATTCCTGCTTTCAGGCCTGAACCCTATATAAGTTTATCCCATGAAGTATTTTTTTACCATATATTTAGTTTTTGTAGTCACTATTCATTTTATAAAAGTCAGTACATTATATTGTTATATATTATATTAAGATAAACTATAGATTTATCACAAATATGTATTTGGATATATATATATGTATAAAATTGTATGTGCCATTTTTCAGGAAGCGCAATAATCATTATTATTTTACTTTGTGGGATCAATATTTAGTTTAGTTTCCTTGGTCTCTTGTATTTTTCCCATGTTTTTTATTCCCCCAAAAAAACTACATAGATATTTAAACTTTTGGTTGATCTTTGAATTACTATAAAACTTTTGAGTTCATACAACTTTGAGTGCATAGCTACTATTTTTTGAGTGCATGCATTTTTGAGAGCATACACATTTTAGGGTATAAATTTTTGAGTCCACACACCCTTGAGTGTATGTACCTCAGTGCATTCACATTTCACTTCTGAGTACTTAATATGAAAGTCAAAGAGCTTAAATTGCATAACTTTTTCCTTCATTGAGCTGCTGGAATACTTGAATGGTCTAATTAAGAAAAGATAATTGTTAAATGCTAGATTGAATAATGCTGCTGGTGTCTGGAAGCATATAGACAGATTTTTGATATCATTGTTGCATTATTGTTTGATGTCCCTGTTTTAAAGCTTATATAAAACCATTAATTCAGCATTAGTAAAAAAATTTTCTTACCTCTATATTTCCACTTTCAACTTTTCCTGCCATTCTTAAAGGTGAATATTTTTACCATCACTGCCAGCACATACTGTACTATATTGGATATTTCAATGCCTTTTTAATTTTTGTTATCGACTCTTGTGCTTTATATTTTAACATTCCTTAAGCCCAGTCACCTTAATACATTGTATATTAAAGTGATCAGTGGTATAAATCAGGATTTGGTGCAGTACAGGAAAGGAAAACAATTTTTTTAGAGACTAGTTTAATATTTTTTACCCAATTTTACCCATTGTTTTTTTGCATTTTTTCCTCCAAATTTCCATTTACGACAAAAGTATTCAAGATGTAAGGGTGATTTTTTCCTGTTAAGTATTCAGTTCAGGGTATTTTGACTTAGGTTGTGTAAAACCTTCACATGCTTATTTTCTTATGTTTTATACACAGTGTATTATTAGGTGGGCCAGTAAAAGAAGAGATTGCATTATCAATGCTATATGTACAATAATTCAAATTACCAGCACAAGTTAGTGGTTTTTATTGGCAAAAACATCACCAAATTAATGTGGCCAATATTAAATTTTAGCAATACGGAAGAAATAAATGGTATATAATTCAAAATATTATGTATAATTTAATAAATATATAAAGTACCTCAAATTTGATGAAGACTTAAACAAAAACTAAACTCTAATGTTGAACTGTGAATATTAACAAAAACTAAAATCTAATGTAGAACTGTGAATAATCACTTTATCATTGTACATGTAACTTTGATTTCATCACCATTATTGTCAGTACATAATTAAGATATCTTATTCAGGGGCATGATTATACATAATTGTGTAACTTTGAATACAGGCAAGAGTGGTTGCATGTATTAAGTACTTACTAACCAACATGTTTCCCCATATATTAACTCTCCAGTATATATTATAACATGTATTAAATACTTACATTTTATGTCGTTTTATGTACATATAAATGTGCTGCTGTAAGGTACACTTTACAAAGGAAAAAAACAAAACCTTAATGTATTTAGACTGAGACAATCTGCTGAATGTATGTTCCTGTATGTGCTGGTACAAACAAACATTAATATTGTTAATATTAAACTTCTGTAAAAACACAGTGATATATTAATCTTGGTAACATTTATTATTGATAAAAACACAGTGATACACCAATCTTGGTAATATTGATATTAATCACTGGTACAAACTTAGTGTTACATTAATCTTGGTAATATTAATATTAATCTCTGGTAATAACACAGTGATACATTAATCTTGCTAATATTGATATTTATCTTGAGTAATAACACAGCGGTACATTAGTCTTGGTAATATTAATCTCTTGAACAAACTTGAAAGAAAAATTATAGTATACAAGCAAATGAATTTGTTCTAATTTAAATCAAATTTAACAATATATGTGATTATTTTACATATTAAGATAATACTCTAGTCAAATCAGCAGGAATCCAAACTATATATTGTGTAGCATAATAAATTAAAAGATCTGCTGTTTATTATGTTAGATATAATTGATGTGAAAATCTAGTGGGTTTTTAATATAATGTTTTAATATTTAGTTTTTAAGTTTAAAACATGATACTTGCATTTTTTTCATCATTTTTAACACTGGTCAAATACACATTTTGTAATTAAGGCTGTGGTCTGAGAGAAGAAACTACTTTGTGGTCAGGTTTGAATTTTATGTTATCTTGAAATGAAACATGAATCACTTAGTATATTTCATAATCTTGAAGATTTATAATGAATAATTGAAATTGTTGGGTTTATTCTGAAAGGATATGATTCTTATAAATGAGCCATGTCACGACAAAACCAACATAGTGTGTTTGCGACCAGCATGGATCCAGACCAGCCTGCCCATCCGCGCAGTCTGATCAAAATCCATGCTGTTTGCTTACCAACCCTTTTACAAGTAGGCTGGTCTGGATCCATGCTGGTTGCAAATGCGCTATGTTGGTTTTGTCGTGACATGGCTCAAATGTTGTAAAGTGAAGAAGTTGAGAAATAAGTGCTCCTTTTTACAGAGTTATTGATACTTTAGATATTATAAATGTATATCTCTACCTACATATAGTATAGAAGAGTATTTTACAGTAGATGTGCTACATGCTTGTTCAACAAACGTGGCATGGTTGTGAATAAAAACTACAATATTTATATGTTTGTATTAGAATTGAAATGGTTCAAACTTGAAATTAATTAAAATAAACCCCATCTGTTTAAAGTGGTACAGATATAGATATTTAAAAGTGCTTTATTATGTAAATGCTAAAAAAGCTGATGCAATATGCAAATGTCTTAATATTTTTATTAGTTCACTGACTATAAATGATTTTTTATACTATATATATGAAATATTCTGCTTTATTATGACTGTCTGTAATTTGTTTGTCAAAATAGTAAGGTGATTGTTTTTAGCATAAGATATTTGATAATAAGGAAAGCATTTCAATTTTTAGCTCACCTGTCACTTTGTGACAGAGTGAGCTTTTGTGATCGCTTTTCGTCCTGCGTCCCTCCGTCCGTCCGTCGTCCGTCCGTCGTCCGTAAACTTTTACTTTAAATGACATCTCCTTATAAACCACTAAGCCAATTTCATCCAAACTTCACAGGAATGTTCCTTTGGTGGTCACCTTTGAAAATTATTCAAAGAAATAAATTCCATGCAGAACTCTGGTTGCCATGGCAACCAAAAGAAAAAACTTTAAATATCTTCTTCTAAAAACCCCAAAGAGCTAGAGCTTAGATATTTGGCATGAAACATCTTCTAGTGAGTGTCTACCAAGTTTGTTCAAATAAAAGCCCTGGGGGCAAAATTGGCCCCGCCCCAGGGGGTCATTGATTTTCCTTATATGTATATAGTAAAAACTTAAAAAATCTTCTTTTAAAGAACCCAAAGAGCTAGAGCTAAGATATTTAGCATGAAACATCTTCTAATGGATGTCTACCAAGTTTGTTCAAATAAAAGCCCTGGGGTCAAAATTGGCTCCACCCCAGGGGGTCATTGATTTTTCCTATATGTGTATAGCAAAAACTAAAAAATCTTCTTCGAAAAAACCCGAATAGCTAGAGTGTAGATATTAAGCATGAAAAAGTTTTTTTCAAATAAAAGCCCTGGGGTTTAAACTGGCCCCGCTCCGGGGGGCCTATATACAGGTGAGCGACTTCAGGGCCATCATGGCCCTCTTGTTTGATAATTTCTATATCATATAAGTTATGTTTTTAAACAGAAAAAATCAATACCTTTTTTTATTGTAATACAAACTTTGTTAATGCCTCACTGTGCCATATGTTACATGGTATGTAATTTTGTTAATCTAGAAAATCGATCTTAATCTTGATAAAACAATACAGCTATTGTATAATATAAGCTTCATAACAGCAAGGTAATGTAACTTTTACTTTATAGCATTCCTTAATGATTTGTTGTTTGATTTCTTTTGGATACATGTTTAAAATTTACATATTACCGGCGTATAAACAAACAAAAAATGTATATTGTTATAAACTTTATTTTAACGACAGAGACTACAGATACATATTTTAGTTTCTGTACAGAGTTTGTCTTAAACTAAATATTTCACGTTTAGTACTTCAGCAATTGTGAAAAGTGCCAGCTCATTACTAGTTTAAGCATGTGAAAATGGACAGAAACGACTGCCTTGGACTTAAGTGGCTTTATTTTATTTGATGTATTGAACATGTGATGTAGGAATGATCTGTACCAAATTAAGATCTTATTGATAAATGGTTTGATGTTTCGATCTGAATTTATATTTGCACTATTGTATTATACAGGTAAATAAAATCGTACAAATATTTGTTAGAGTCATGTTTGTATTACCTCCCTTTCCTTTTCACAGTACAGAGGTCTCTTACGGAACTGTTGTAATGCATTGTAAATAAAAAAGGTGCATAGAATTAACGAAAGATGCTGAAAAACAGAAATATAACGAAATTTATCTAGATTCTCTTTGGTAAATGTTAAATATGAAACATTTTTCATTTTATAGTTGAATTAAGTTTAATAGACGCGTTGCTCAGCAAATATTTACATTAGAAGTTGTATTTTGTCATGTAAATTTTAACTGTAAATGATATTTGTCGATGCGCTCTTTTGAGTGTTAAATAATAATGAACTGTTCATCTGTAATGTACGACATCTTTATTTGACTTTGTCTTACGCGAATCATGGTACAGTTAAATACATTTTTTTTGCCCCCACAAATATAACGTTGCACTTGTCCGTCCGTCCGTACGTCTGTCCGTCCGAGCAATATAACTATATAACAGTAAATAGAACAAAAGAGAACAAAAGAGAACAATAGGTTCATTCCGTGGGGCTAGTAGCCCTTAAGAAAACAAAGAAAATAACAAAGAAAATAGCCCCTAAACCCACAATGTAGGAATGGCCGTACGTCCCGAAATCTTGTGAACGCAACTCCTCTTAAACCGGATGGCAGATTTTGCTTAAACTTCCAGGGATGAACAACCTTAATGTGTAGATGGTAGTTAAGGAAGGAATTTTCGCTGCGACCAGATTTAACAGAATTATGGCCCTTTGTTGATTTTTTTTACTATATACCATATATATGTTGTCAGTGGGGGCATCCGTGTCCTTTGGACACAGTTCTAGTTATTTTAATCCAACAAGTAAAAACACATGTAGGTATTTTAAGTTCCAAGCCAAGAAGGCATAAAAATATCATTACTGTCGAAAATTGAGACAAAATGCATCTAAATAGAATTTGCTATTTATCGTCTCTGTTAACTACTTGTTGTCTTATTTCTTCCTGTTTACGATCATTTTAGAGAATACAGGTTTGTTACGGTAGGTTTTGGTAATTCTAAAACATTGACAATAGCACAAAAATATAGTGCGAATGCTCGGTGCTCATTGGGACAAATCGTGTTATTCAAGGTAAAGGTTTGACGATGGACATTTCGTCACCGTGGCACTTAAATGGCATGACATGTCGCATTTCAAAACTGTCCAAAGATCAATTGACATAGAAGGTTGTTAAGGCCCTAAGTCTGCATTATCGTCCAACCCATAGTGTACCAGTGTGCTTCAAGGTAGCTATTGTGACCACTCCTTTATCGTCCGAGTAACAAGGTAAATCAGTAAATAAAGGATATGACGCTTAACTGTTGGATAAACTTCGATGAAATTATTCAGTAATTATCCTCATCAGCTGTTGTCAAACATTTTTTTTATTTAAATCTACATGAATGGTCATTGGGCCATATTCTTCTGAAATCAATGTAGTCAGCTGAACAAAATGGTTGCTAGATGTATAAATTGGAATGATTTCATCTCAAATCGTTTGGCAGATTTTAAGAAAACGCAAAAGGAATTACCCTTCGTGGAAGGGTTATCCTCTTCCGGGATTTTCCTCGGATGGTCCTCCACAGATACTGCTGAAATATATTCAGTCTTTTGAACATGATGGCTGCCCGAGAGTTAAATACAGAAGTAAGACAGCACCTCAACCGTTTGACATATAGATGAAACTTATTAGGGATAAGCGAATGATGAAACTTTGTCCCTGTAAACCATATTCTCAGGTAGGCAATTAATATTAGTCCTACAGTTCTTTTACATTGCAACTGAATTGCTTTTCTCTTTCAAATTATCAGAGTTAAATTTTTTTATCCATTTAAATATTCCAGCCCGTTTTTTCTTTTTAATTTTTTTATGGCAAACTATTTTCATTTCAAAATCCGTAAAATATTCAAATGCTACTCCATCTTGACGATACGTAGTGTGATTGATGAGATAATGTCACTTTCATGTTTTATTATTCATTTTGTAAGTGAAATGAAATTTTTTTTTCTTTCTTGTGTATTTTTCGTTTTTAGAGGTAAAAGTGAATAATAACTTTACATCATCAATTCAATTTAACATTTTTAAAATACGGAATTATCGATTCAATACGATTTAAAAAATAGAAACTTTACGACAAAATTAAATGGATTTGATCATTTTTAGAGAGCTGTTAAACTTTATCTTGGTGCCCTGGAAAAATGCAAGAGGTTTCACAAGATATGTGCTATTCTTCTAAATCGGTAACATCGTAAGCTAACATTAAACATGACGCTTTTAGTGAAAGTAAAGAAATAAAATGTTGAATAATGATGATGTATCAAATAAATTACCAAATACATGTATAGCTATCTCGCTTAAAATAAGATATACATTATAGATCATTTCGCAATGACGGTGCCATTTTATTCATAAAAAGAACGAAAAGCAATTTCATAAAAAAGGATTAATTAGACAAAGCACCGGTGTGTCTTTAATATAGTTCAGTTATTACATCGAAAGGAGACTGTAATCTTTCAAGTATAGATAATTCATTTTGTTATGTTTGTTTCCCTTCCATTAGCTTCAATAGAAACAGATACAAAATGATTAACAGATATAAACATCGTTTACAATAAATGTATTGCGTTAAAATCGCTAGGAATGAAATAAAACCGTTCAAATATGTCAGCGTTTATTCTATAAAGATTTTGACCTTTACTCACAAAAACACTTAGATTTACACATACATAGATCATTGATGAACACACTTCAGTCTTGTAAATTAACATACTATATATAATTGATAGATAAGATATACCAAAACACGAACTAGGATACTGTGCATACATAAACTTTGAACATGTTCTACTTTGAGTAAAACATTTGTGATATATCTATGTAAAATAGTGTTAAGAGATATAGGCATTTCTAAACAGAATATTTGTGTAGATAGCTTAATTTAATCTAAATATAATCTAAATATTCAAATCTAGTTGACAGTATGACCTATTTTATCAGAGTTATCAGCTGAGAGTTTGCCTTGTCGTTCATTTAAGGGCATGATTTAATATTTTACAGTGTTTCTTCATTCATACGAAATATAAAAAATTGAACAAAAAATGGCTGACGGAGAAACTAGAATAATGATTTGCATGGATGGAAGCAGATTCTGTGACTATGCCTTTGATTGTAAGTTCGTTTTTCCTATTAAATGTGATTGATAATTTAAATTTATTTTAGATTTGTTTTTCTATTTCATGTTGTTTAAATTTGAAGGTCATCTTTGATTGATGTTTACATTAAGATGTGAACGAGGGATCGTGTTTTTTTACGACACATTAATTAAGATTTTGTGTTGACGTGGATTCTAATACAGAATATGTTGTAAGCTGCTTAAGGATTTATCCATCTCTATTAGATACTCTTCATGATATTATACTAGGTTTAGAACATTCTAGAACTAGCTCGTTATAATGATTATAAACGAGGAACACGTCACTCCTTCACAAATATATATTTGTCTCTGCATGTCTTAATATTGTTTTAACCGCTGTTTTTTTCCCAAAACATGGAAAAAATCCCTGAACGTCAGATATATTTTTGAAACTCTTAAGTCCGTTGTTAATCATATCGAGAAAAATGATGTTTTTCTAAAAAAAAAAAGAGTTAATTATCATATTGATACAAAAGTACTCGAACTTAGCAAAACATTTGAACATTTGCTTTATCGCTGCAGAAACCTTTAATTTTTTTAACATTTTCGTTGCAGGGTACCTAGAAAACATCAAGAAACCAAAGGACTATGTCATTCTGTTTCACAGCGTAGAATTCCATACACTAACTACAATGCGTAAGTACAATTATTCTACATTTTTATAAACATTGTATCTTAGTCTTTAATATACTAATATGTTGTTATTTGAATATAGTTTTCATTTTCCTTCTTTTTAGTTATTTATATCTTTGATAATCATATCACCAATTCATTTTGATGTCTTCTTTCAATGTTAGATTTAAGCAGCGTGACAGACAAGAATTACTATAGTTTTCGCTGTATGATTACAACTGCCAAATAATTTGAATGGTTTTGCATAGAACTATATTTGATAGACGCTTATTTTTCGAAAATATAGTTTTAAGAAAGTGATTATGATTATATGATTATTTCAATTGGTTCTTCCAAGTTTCATCTATTTAGTTAAAAAACATCAATAGAGTTATGCAATGTTATTTCTTTTGATATAATAAATTGTTTTATCACGTTGATTAATCTTTCACGCATAGTTTCCATGCTGTTTATCAACAATTTTACACGCTTGTTATCGTTATCTGCACGGGTTCGAGGGAAAGGCGCTATGTGCATGCTCTATGTCGTGTTTTAAGTATGTACATCACCGTTTTATAAAGAAAGTTAATCTGATAAAATATCTGACAGATATGGAAGTCGGAAGTGTTGCAGCATATGCAAGAAGTATACAAGAAGAAAGACTTGAGGCTGAGAGATACCTCCAACAGCTTAAAGGAAAGATGGTTGCTGCAAACGTAAGCATGAGCGTTTACTGAGGGAAAATTACAAAATAAAATCACTTACACTTTAAATGTATTGTTATTTCACAGCTATGGGTGTAGGGGCAGCCGATTTACTCACAACGATGATTCAGGAAGAAAAAGCGCACGCGGAAAGATACCTGGGACAACTAACGCAGAAAATGAAAGACGCGGGTGTAAGAAATTTGGTCAACCCTTTATCCCGTTAGGCTTATTGGCTCTTTTTAATGCAGACAAAAAAAATTATCCTTCCCTAGATTCCCTCATAGCACTGTAAAAAAACGATAAGGGGAAAGCTTTCCTGATACTTTTTTTCAAAGTTGTTGCATTATTACGGGGTTTAAAAGTTTGGAATTTCTTGAAACCCTTTTCATCACACTAATAAAAATAATTTTAAAATTTAAAAAAACATCCCAAAATTCGAAAATTTTCCAACCCTTTTCCCCCTTTGGCTTTACTCGTTTATCATCACTGCAAATTTTAGACCCCTTTCTATCAATGTCCTCATTGAAAACATTACTTAACAAAACTTCAAAATTATTATTTTTTCAGTTTTAACTTTTTCTCGGAAACCAAAACTCTTTTCATAAAAAATTCACGAGATTCATAGAAATTCCCATGATCACCGCCGTATCATGTGAAAGTATCTGTAATTGCTTAAAACGGGTTTTGGGCGTGAATAGAACTTGCACTTACAACAGGCGCCCATGGACAGGCTTAATGAAACTGATCCTGCAACATTTTCAATTTTGCGTTCTGGGATTTTTTTAAGATTTCCATTTTGATATACCGAGGTTTACTATTATACGATGTTTGATAAAAGCGCTTTCAAATTGTAAATGCTTAAATGGTTTATGTCAAGTCTTATTTTAAGCTGCTGTGTGTTAGAAGCTGGAACATTTGCTCCACACAGACATCTAATCTATAGAATATTTCCAGCAACGTTTTCTCATAAACAAGCAGTAAGCTCGTTAAAAAAATTGTTGATTTCCACGACAGATGCAAGCTTATTACCTTTTTCGCCTGCCTTTGACGATTATAGTTAATCAACCGTTAGTATTGCCTAATGCCTTGTTTACAGCTTCCTCCGCAATGCTAGAGGGAAAAGAACATGCTCCATCGATTTTTCAATCTGCTTGTATGGCGACAAAATGCTTCTGCTTTAAAATTAGCATCCTCTCTGTTTCGACTAACACTTTAAATAACTCCTTTTATCTAATTTGTGGAGTATTATCCCTTTTTAACTAATTTTATCATATTGTTTTTGACGGAAAATATTATTTATCTATACACATAATTTATAATGTATTATGACCGCGTGAATTACATTAAGCGAACGTTGAAATTTATCATACTACAATTATTTTGTCACTTAGACTCAAAATAGCATATCCAAATATTATCGCACATATATATTGTCTAAATGTTGAATAACTTCTTTGAAGCTTTTTGCTTTCCGGTTTGATACTTAGAGACAATTTTATTCTATATATCTTTAGATAAACTGTTTTAAGAAAAAAAAACATGATATATTCCTGTTTCAGACTTCGTGCTTTATAATAGTTAAAATAGTGTTTAATTTATTTTACCGTTGTGAACCTATGAAAATCACTAGTTTAAGCAATATAACAGCAGTTTTGTAATTAAAAATAATTCACTCTTAAACGAAATCAATTGTAAAATGTTTTTTATGAAAGAAATGTTGAAAATTTTGTTTATTTTTATTTGTATGTTTATTCCAGCTTCATGGAAAGGTTAAGCAGACGACAGGCTCGCCTAGAACTGAAGTTACACGTGTAGCCGAGGAAGAGAAAGTCAACATGATTATAATGGGTACACGTGGTATGGGAAAGGTGAGGCGCACCCTTCTTGGTAGCGTTAGTGATCACGTGCTCCATCATTCGCACGTGCCAGTCATTATCTGCAGACATAAAGACGACCATCACCAGCATCATCACGGGCAACACGCTGAAAAGGATGTTAAAATGTAGAACTAAATGAATGAATTTAGAGTAAACTCTTAAAGATATAGCTTTAAAGTGGCCTTCAGTTTTTATATTTTGTTTGAAAAAAACTAAGTATTTCAGTAACTTTATCTGGGAAAAGTGCATCATATCACACGGTATGCCTTTTTCATCACAGTGTCTCGAGAGCTATTTTTAACACGTCAGTGACGTTCGTTTCTAAAAATAGAAGGTAGGGAAATACTAATTTGCATATGTCACATATAGAGAGCGGAGGCATCGAGTGGTTTATTTGTTGTTTGTGTATATTATCGACTTTTCACCTTAATTATTTTGATCTGACAATTATTAATGAAACGATTTATCTAAAAATTTGAGAAAAGCTGAAGGCCGCTTTAAATGTCAAAATGTATAAAGTTAACTTGTATCGGCTATTGTGAAAACATATAAGTAATATTTTACAAATGACACATTACGTGACATAAGTATCATAGATTCCATCATGTCAATACTATCCCCACATTTTCTTCAATCTTTCTTGGAAAGAACGATACGTTATGTATGTTGATTATAAATGAAATGTTATCATAGTTTATTTGTTGAATTACATTTGTATTGTATGATGTATATGTTAACATTTTTTGTACCCAAATAAAGCATATATTTAGAATATAACTTGCAAACCAAACAAAACGACTTTATTCAATTAATCCTGTCATACTATACTACATGTATTATATTCAGTATAAACGTTAAATTTTGATGAAGTCACGATATTTCAAAGTTGAATGGCTGGCCCTGTTTTATTGATTTAAGACCGAAAAACAACATTCTAAATGTAATAAGAACCTCCAAAAATCCTTTAAAAAACAAAACAATGCAATAAATGTCCATTGCTTTCATGTTTTTTTCATGTTTTCTTTGTTATTTCGACACTCATAAGGATATTGGTTGGCGGAAGGGGGGCGGGGAAGGGGGAAAGGATGTACAGATTACGTGACAGCTCTGTCCATTCTGTTAAAAGATCTAGACGCTTTTATTGACAAGACAAGTTATTTGGAGAAAAACCTCACTCTATCAGTGTCAGCTTATTTGATGTCAGGCCAGCTACATTTGTCCAAACGTATTCTCTTTCTTTTTATCTGTCAGGTATTTACTTTTCGGTAGAAACTGAACATTGCTGTAATCAACTCTCAATACAAAATAAAGACTTTTTCAATAAATCACATTAATTGATTTAAAGAATGATGGATTTTATAGTTTTTTTTAATTGAAAAATATGTTTGTTATTGGTTAAAGCAATTTTAATTGAATTTTTAGAATTATTGGTCTCGGGGTTGCGCTGTATAAAGAAACTTGTAAGCATGTTTTAAAACGACTGTATATTTTATTGTTCATAGTATATCATACTTTTCCTTTTATAATATAATAATTATATAATATATAATAGATATAATAATGAACGGTTATAATAAAGTCTTGGAGCTGTGAAATTCTATTAATTTGTATAGAAGCTGACCGTTCCTATAATTATTTTGAAGTGCCAACATATTCAAATATGCAAATGATGTCATTAATATGTCTCTTATGGTTCTGAGATAACAAATAAAGACAGATTTTTTATCCACATCTTATCAAGTTAATTGAAATATGAGCCGCGTCACGACAAAACCAACATAATGGGTTTGCGACCAGCATAGATCCAAACCAGCCTGCGCATCCGCGCAGTCTGATCAGGATCCATGCTGTTCGCTATCCGTTTCTCTACTTGTCATAGAGTTGCGGATGCGCAGTCTGGTCTGGATCCATGCTGGTCGCAAACCCATTATGTTGGTTTTGTCATGGCGCGGCTCATATCATATTCCTGTTCATCTTAACACTTCTCTTTGAAGAAAGGAATAAATTCTTTAATTTGCCTATTCAAATATTTTTAGAGAATGGTGCTTTCTCACGCAATATGTTTCTGTTTCCTAAAATGACTTTATCTCAATGACTTTATCTTACTTGTGAGCTTCATGTTTAATAGAGTTTCGAATACCATTACAAAGGAACTCGTGCTTCTTTAAAATGTAACATGTGTCTACGATGCGTAGTAAAGGATACGTATTTCAAATTAACTTATTCACATTGGGTATTTTGTTTATCATCAAATAACAAAAGTTTTACTCCTCAGCAGAAATTTTGTTTATTTTGTACAGTCTATTCTGGTTCAAGTAAACAATAAACAAATAATAAAATGTACATAAATTTACATGGTAAATGTTGACATACAGAGTTATTTTCTCATTGTCTCTTGGAATGTGGCTTATTACTGTTTTGACTGATTAATTCACAAACAGCGGACACATCAAAGGTTATCTATGGTAAATATTCTCTACCTCTAAAACAGTATGTTTTAAAACGTTATTTTTGAATTGATATTACATGTTGAGAACTGAAAAGCCAGGTGAAAAGATTTTCATTTCAGACAGGCTAAAACAATGTATTATAGAATAAAGTTTATGTACCATTGTAAACTAAAGCTCTTTTGAGGAATCAATATAAAATTAAAGGAAATAACAAACCAAACAGAAAACAATCAACTTAATTACATAAACATTTACAATAATTTATTACTTTCATATAAAATACAATGTCTAACCTTTGAATGTTCAAACATCATCCAAAATGGTTTTGAACAGCTGTAACCAATGGAATGTTAGTGGATTTGCGAAATATGTAACTCATTTGTATGTTTGCATCCTTCATCATTATATAATTATTACAATTTCTTGTTACACCATATTAATTTTTTAAAATAATCATGATTATATCTCAACTATAGCTGGATATGACTTGCACTAGGGAAGATAATAAGTGATATGTTTTACAACCCAACATTGATTTGCCTAAATATTAAGTGAATACATTTTTCTAATTCATTTGTCATCCTGTTTTCAGTCACCTGAGGCTTTTGTTGTACTTTTACTTTCTAGTACTTCAAGTTTTCCAATGAATAATGATGATGAGTGGTAAATTATGTAATCCATCGACCTTTTTTTGAGGTTACTGACTTATTTGAAACAATGCTACAACCCTGATTTGTGATTATTAATTTCTATAAAAACATTAATAAAACACGTATGAATGATTATGCATCTTAATAGAAAATTTCATCATCATCATCATCATCATCATCATCATCATCATCATCATCATCATCATCAGCAGCAGCAGCAGCAGCAGCAGCAACAACAACAACAACAACAACAACAAAACCTTTAGTAGAAGCAGCAGCAGAAACATCAATAGCAGCAACAACGGCAGCAGCAGTAACAATCAGCAGCATTAACAGCAACAATAACAACAACAAAAACAAACAAACAAAGTAGCAGCAATATAAAACAAATAATATGTGTTATCTTAATTTGTTATGATAAGTTGCTCTTCTAACTTTAGATGTGTACCAATGTAAACATGTTTTCTGGTTATGATTTAATTATCATATTTATCGGAATTATCCACTATATTCAATTTGTCGTCTGCTGAATGAAACACGTGACAGAACATGCGCATTCTGACATAAACCATTGAGACTCAGTTTTAATAAGATGATTACTACCTAATTAAAACAACATTAAATCTTCAGCTGACCTGACGATATCCTTATCTGACGACTGGTCAAAATATAAACAGGTATCATTTTTTGTCACACTTGATATATTTCTTCTCACTACATTCGTAGCTTAAACGCAGAACAGTCAATTTAGATACACGCCTAGTTTTAAGACTGTTTTATTTATAAATCGGTGGTTTTCAACTTATTTTCCGCGTCAGTTCAATTTACTTGTGTTTACACTTTTTAAACTACCAGGAAGGAAGCATGGCTGACAAGTCAGTAAAAGAAAATAGAATCTTAATTGCTATGGACGGAAGTAAATATTGCAATTATGCTTTTGATTGTAAGTATAAATATTATATAATTCTATTTTATCATCTGTAATTCATGTTTAAAAATAAGATAAATGTATTAAAAGTTTATGCTTGAAAGAAATACTTTACCGATAACTGTTACATGATCATAAACATAAAATCAACGATCCGCATAGTTTAAAAAACATAGCAAATACTACAATTATGTTTAATGTATTGAGCGTATAATGTTTTAAAACTACACAGTTTCTTTTCTCATTCAATTAATGCCACCTTTACAGCTAGGTGAACCTTGTCTTTAATATTTCTATTAATAGCTGGTTCCAAAACAAGATACAAAAGTTCACCGGACAAAAGTACTTGAATTGATTAAGAATACCTGTTTACACAAGTGATAAAAATTTAAACGACCATTTTAAAACTTTTAGTGATAAAATTCGTGTCGATGTTTGATTAATACATTAGGGTCATGAACTTTTAACGTGATTGACTTTCAATCAATTACACAAAAATGTGGCATTCATGCTTTCCCTATATAACCATTTATTTGATATAACTTTATACGTTTTATTTCATGGCATATTTTGAATGTTTTTTTGAAAATACGCTTTATGTTTTATACCCGGTTTAAAGTGTTGACTAACATTAAACGCGCTCAGTCATATGGGAAATATACATATTTTTACAATAATTGTTAAATCAAAGGCCAAGAATGGGTAATTTGAAACTAAAAACAATATGATATTTATGATGGAATGAAGACCTTGGGGGATGACTACAATTCAAGAAATAAAGAGGAACTATTCTTTGTATACCTAATGATTTTCTTGGATTTGTAATATGATATGGCACCAACTCTTAGAATAATACATGTATTAGAAATATGTCATTGCGGTATAAGAACAAATATACATTGAATAAGGTATTGCAACATTAGGTATTTCACGATAGAACATTGTAAGCATTGATTTTTGAGAATCTGCACTTATGTACTTGTACTTTCACGTGTTTTGTGTCAGAACTAAATGTCAATTAAGTGATAAAAGGAAAAGGAAAGTTGTTTGAAAGACAAGAAAAAAGACGAAAGTAGACATGCTTTTACCGCATAACGACTAGGAATAAAGCTATAGCAATATTTCAATCACCTAATCTCACACAAATGTCACTTATATTGATGAACGATGTGCTATGAATGTCAAAATTCAAATTACAAAAAAGAATGAGCCGCGCCATGACCAAACCATCATAGTGAGTTTGCGACCAGCATGGACCCAGTCCAGCCTGCGCATCCGCGCAGTCTGATCAGGATCCATGCTGTTCGCTTACAAACCCCATTACAAGTAGAGAAACTGATAGCGAACATCATGGATCCTGGTCAGACTGCGCGGATGCGCAGGCTGGTCTGGATTCATGCTGGTCGCAAACCCATTATGTTGGTTTTGTTATGGCGCGGCTCAAATAGAGTAACGATTAAAATACTTTGATAAAGTTAAAAGAATTGGGTTATACAATACCTTTTTCGTGTATATTTTTATATTAATACATATATTTAAACAGGTACTATGGGAAATGGTGAGTGCCAAACTTTTCTCTTTTGTCTCCCCACCTCTCCCCACAGAGCCTTTATTCTACCGGGGACGTTTTATTAGGTAAGAATGATTAGATAGGAAGCTTACAACTTAAAAGTGATATCTTAATTGTAAAAAAACCTTTTTATTCAGGGTATTTGGAGAATGTGAAGAAACCTTCTGACTATGTTATATTGGTTCACTGTGTGGAGATGAACAGCTTAGCTTCCATGCGTACGTAAAATATTCTTTTACTTAAATTATTCTATTCTAATCACATTTTGATTGTTGTAACGGCTTGTTTCAAGTAAAAACATTCCAGAATTTAAGTAGCAGCCAGTAATTCACATAGTTTTAAAACGTATAATGGAAAGAAAAAAATATTAACACGAACAAGTGTCAAAAATCACTTAAATACGAAACCCGGAAATAAATGTAGGTAAAGAATGTCGTTACGCAATTGGTAGATACTATAAATTGTATATTTTTTATTTTCATAGCTGGAGATATCGGAGCATCTGGGTTGCTTATGAAAAGTATAGAAAAAGAAAGGGAATCCTGCGATAAATATCTCCGTGAACTTACAGACCGTATGAAAGCCGCCGAAGTAAGTTTGAAATCATTTTGTATTTTCTGTAACAACAAAAAGAGTGCATGCATGTATATACCGTGTAAAGTTGAAGCATAATTGATTTAATTAATTATACAAAATATATATTTGGATAAAAAGAAATCAATCAATCAACCAATCAATAAACCAATCAATCAATCAATCAATCAATCAATCATCTTTTCAGCTTCACGGCAAAGTTAAGCGTACAAGTGGACCAGCTAGATCTGAAATACTTCGTGTTGCAGAAGATGAGAAAGTGGACATGATAATTACAGGAACACGTGGTATGGGTACTGTAAGACGCACGTTGCTAGGTAGCGTTAGTGATCACGTGCTTCATCATTCTCACGTGCCAGTGATCATCTGTAAACATAAAGATCCTGATCATCAGCAAGAAAAGCAGCAAGGCTCAAAGAAATAATGTGATATTATATCTGTAGAATTAGTATTATAATTGATTTTAACTTCTCTTCTGCAATATTGATTGTTAAATCATGCACATGTCTCTCGTTGTCATTCAATTATTGTAGGACACAAACAGACTGTAAAACATTTAATGCATTATAAAATCATATAAAATATGCGAAGACTTCTTCCAATATCCTTTCTCCATGATGAAGAACGCTGTTATAATTTATAACCTTGTGAACTATATATGTACATACACATTATATCGTTATATATACGAGTATAAAGTGCAATACTGTAGTTATATCATTGAAGTTGAGGATTGTACGATTATTCATTTATTCCTGTGCAGGGAAAATGAACGTGACGAGCCTGCGACTGTCACATTAACTCATTATTGTATATATCCTAATCATTTTCAAGTTAGTGCCTATGAATTTACTTACCAAAGTGTTTATCATAATTTTTAAACCGACTCTGTTTCATGTATAAATGTGGTTTTGATACGTCAATATAGGTATGTCTTGGTGTGTAATTACAGAAAAAAGGTTGTCAGCGATTGTTTAAATACTATACAGTGAATATATGTTTAATGCATTGGCCTTTACATTGCATATCATTTTTTGTGAACTTTGAAATTGTAATTAAATTATTCTATATAACTCTTTAAAGACATCGTTGTATGTGCTATTTTTTTCGCAGCCCAAAAGAAACAAATGGGATTCGTTGACTCTTTTTTGAGTTCTGGACCTTGGTTAAAGGAGTCTGTTAACAGACAGGTATACGCTTCTCAAAATATTTATTCTTCAGTTCAACAGAACGTGGCCTGCGACAACAATTTTTCAACTCATGTTCAAATATATGAAAATCACCAGACTGGAGAATGGCAAAATATACTGTATACGAAAGATATTGGCATCATCTACAAAAGTCTATTTACCTTAAAAAAGACAAGTATGCGAGACTCAAATGTTTATTATTCAGTTCAACACAACCGTGGCAAACATAATTAAAGTGCTCATGCGTCGTGCAAATTGGAGCATGAATCGAAAATCAGTAAGAAATAATAATTAGATAGGTTGAAAAAGGCTGTTAAGTACTTTAATGTATCAGTGACGCCTATTAGATATTAGGCTAATCAATGAAATAATAAGGGTAGACATAATTGCAACAGAATTTCTGTTGACACTGTATGAAAGCACGTACTGTAATAAGTACTTTAAAGAAAATCCCAAAAAATCCGACAAGCATAATTGTGTAAATGCATTTTAAATAATGTTAATTTCTAACAATTTAACAATGGCCCATAAATTTCACCATACACGAAATACTTCGAATGACGTAGACAACTATGACGTCACAAGTAAAACTATCATGGCGGTAAATGGTAAATATCGCGGGGTGAATTTGTGATTTACGTCTTTATCGCTGATTATAGAAGAAGAAGTGTATCATCAGGTAAGTAAACTTTTGCTGGCATATTATTTAATATTTAAAATCATTAACAAAATATTTTAAAGTTGTTTTATAAACACCGGATGGTCTTTTTGTCATTTCAATTTACAGGTACTGTACATTTTAAAGTAAACAAAATGGAATTCGTTACAGGTTACTTATAAATAAATTTCATTGTACCATAAGAACGTTATAGACACAACCGTAATCACAAAAATAATGGGCTATGAGCTACGAGTGTAAGAAGTAAAGTATGAACTACGGAAAACAATAAGGGACATGGATATTAAAACATACTCTACAAGACAAACATGAACATGTACATAACGAGAAAATAGGACACTTAGCATTACATGTAATGTATATTTGACCCTGTGACACTTTAACATTCCAAATTACAAGCAACTTTGGGCATACAATCATGTTCACAGAATTGACTTTTGTTATCTTGCTGTATTCTCTCGTCCAGAAATCAAGTGTTTAATTGTCAGTACTTAACGTTTTTATACATGCCTTTTCATTCTTAAATGTTTGTACTCATCGAATAGTTGTGAGGGAATTCGCTTCCTCTTTTGGTCTCCACTGAGGTCGCCAGATATCCATCGGGTACAAACTTTACGGAATTTTATCTGTCAGTATATAAAAACTGCTTGATACATAAAGGACAAGTTTCCTACATTGTATAGTGGGCAATCTTTACATGTAACTTCAGTATCACTTTCGGATGTTGTTATAGTGTGACAGACTGACAGGCATATCGGGGATCATCTGTAATATCTGTTCTATTGAATTTCTATACCCAGGACCACTATACCCGGGACCATCTCAGTGGCATGTGATAGGGTACTACTCCCGCAAACAATGCCTAAATATGATTTGATATCAGGCGAGGCAAAGCTAAGCATTGCGCGAACTTTTCAGTGCACTCTTTGCTCTTCTTGAAAAATGTTCTCATTGTCATTAAATCCTTAGTAGGTAAAAGTGAAAAATGTGTTTGCTATGTAAATTTTTTTCCGAATGTCCGTACATATGCATGAAACAGAGTCTAAGCTATGTGTAACACGATACGCATTTGTATAACGGTAAAAATATATTCAATGTCCCTCATATGATTTTTGACAAACGATAAACAAATTATCTACGTATGTAAAAAGTAAAGCGTTTAAAACTAGAAAATTTGTTGGCTTTTTATTTCGACTACAATCTTCCATTTCGTTAAGCTATCTGAATCAAAAACGAAATGGACATTTCATGTTCGTCCAATTAATCATACTTAAGTTAATAAGATTCAACATCTTTAATGAAAACTATTATACAAGGCAATTCTTTTCTCACAATTCTCCATTACAAGTTCCGTCTTATACATTATCGTTTTATTAGACATGATCAATGTGTTCCATGGCAATTAACATTGACAAGGTGAGGTTTAATGCCAATTGTGCGATGATCTATTGGGGAATATCATTTAATACTGGAAACGATATTAAATGCTAACTGTTTAGCAGAATATTGACTTTCTTACAAATTAAAAATTTAACATGAATGTAATTGAAATCTATTTCATCTCTTGCAGAATACATTTAGAAAAGTCTAAAACGAACAATAAAGATTATGTCTGATAAAGAATGGTTTCATGTTATATATATATTTATTTTTGTATAAATTAATTGGTTACTAGGTTTTAGGAAAGTTATATAGAAAGGCATAAAATAAACCAAAACGAGACAACAAGGCAACGCTTTAAATTCAAATATTGTGTGGGCAAATTCCTGATAAAGTTAAGAATCAGAATTGATAGCCAAGTGACTCAATTAAGAAAGAAGATCGTAAAAGTTGTAAAAATTATGAGATACCTGGGAAGCAAAAATGGGGACACAGTCGCTAAAAAGCGCTAAGACTTGGAATACAATGATGATGGAATTGAATTGAAACTTCAAAGGTATTCTTTGCTCAAATTTGATATTAGAAAGTATTGATAATTGCTGCACAATCTTTTTCTGAACATAGAATTAACATGTTTTGACGTCATACAAAGCAGATATGTTAGATTTAAATATCTACACACTATAGGTGGTCACAATGTGAATATATAGTGACATTTAAAAAAAACAGGCAGTTTGTTTAGGAAGTTTCAACTTTGCTTGACCCGTTATAGGGAACACAGATTCCCATACATAATTTATTCATTCTTTTATTCAACTGTGTTGACAATGTGAGAGACCATGGAGTACAGATGACCAGCACTTTAAGTTTTGACATCCATATTCAAAAGAAGTGTCAGATTGCACACATGCAGTTAAGAAATTTGAAAGCAATCAGAAAACATCTCACTCAGAAATCTGCAGAAATCCTTGTTCACGGTTTGATTCATTCACATTTAGACTTTTGCAATGGATTATTCGCTGATATTCCAGCCTATCAACTTGATAAATTACAACGTGTGCAGAATTATGCTGCTATCAATCCAGTGCTAAAATTCTTAAATCACTCCACTGGCTTCCAATTCGAGCAAGAATCATGTACAAAGTTATTGTGACTGTGTTTCGTGTTGCAAATGGCACCGCTCCATTGTATCTTCGTAAATTGTTCACTAAATGCCAGAGTCAGTACAGGAAAAGACTGAGATCCTCATCATCTAGCCACATTCGGTTTGATATACCATCAACAAATTCAAAACTTGCTGATAGATCCTTGGCTATTGTGGGACCTAAATGGTGGAATTCATTGCCAGACTATCTAAAGGACATTACCAATGAAAATCAGTTTAAGGCCAAACTTAAAACATACTTGTTTGGACTGTTTTTCAACTAGAGTTGTAGATTGGCTGTGCCATCGAGACTGGGTTTGGGAGTGTCTTGATCAAGCATATGTGTATATAGTCTTAATAATGTACAGCGCATTCGAAAGAAAAGAAAAACCTCACAGACAAGACACAATATACAAAACAAACAAGATTGTAAATAAGGAGCACTGTTACACGAAACGTTAAAAATGCATTTGCTGGACGCGCTACTTATAAATCCTAAAATGATCATAGCCTCCTCTAAACATCATTATCATTGCAACCACGGAATGATTTATTAAAAAAAAATCAAACGCATGTAATGGTTTATAAAACTTGAAATGACCAAGTCACTTAAATACACACTTATAATAACAATACCCATAGCAATTGAACTATGTAATAATAATTATCTTCTAGCGGACTTAATTAAATACAATTTACATATTAAAGCCGACTGAAATGATGATATACATGAAAAAGAAAAGGAGGGCTTTGGATAAATTCATATTACTACTTAACAATGATTAGTTTCTTTTTGCATGGTCTTAGAATATGATAACAGAAACATTTTGAGCGAAAAACAAGTCGGGCAATCGACCTCTTTCTCGAGTTATCTGCCCTTGAACATGATATTTTGGTATTTCAAAACAGTATATGGATATAAAACTAAAACGCCAGTCTCGCTAACCCTACACAGAATTTTACTGTTTTTTTTTCGTTTCAGCCTTGATCACAATATGAAATTTCATTGAATTCCATTAACATTTGCGGTCTCTAGTTTGAGCATATTGAAATTCTTAAAAAATGCATTTTGTAATGAAAATATTTTGACATTTACCCAAAAGCAAAATCGTAAATGATTCTGTCCAAATTGAAATATGGCCAATTTCATTTAAAAATTGAAGGGTCTTTCGGGTGTTTTCGTGGTAAGGGTTCAATGCACGTTTATAATAGTATACAGAGTTTTGTTTGCTAGTTATTGTTGTTTTATAGACAAATGAAAATAAGTATAAAATAAAACACTGTTTTTGATATAATGGAAATTTTATGTCCATATTGTAGTTTCCATGCACGTTATGAAATAAGTATATTTTTAATTTTGTATTTGCTGGAAGACATTATTAAGCAAATGTGATAAAATATTTAAATATATGGTACTCCATGCCTGTGGTCCAATATTGCTTGGTTGTTCATTGAATGAGCCTTCATTTCTTTCCTTGTTGATCTTTGACTTCATATCCTAGGTTCTCAAAGAGTAAACATAAAACAAGAGTGATGTTTAACTAACTTTATTGCACCTAATTTTCAATTCATATATTGAATAAATTACCTTTCAGAAACATTATGAAGTATTTATATGCAAAAAGGAAAGGTGTGTAAAATCTTTGTCTGCAAGATGTAACATTTTGAGTCGCTTTTAATACACCGTGT